TTTTTGATCGATTCCTGAATCACGTTACATGTTTGTGATTTTAGTTTGCGTCTTTGAAGTTCAACGAGACCATTCATGTTTTGGTCAACGTGACAGTTGATCCAAATAGAACGCTGTCCAACGATGGGTTCCATTACGCTAATATTGGTTCTGTGGTCAAGTATCATTGGCTTGGCTCTTGCACGCAGCCTGAAACCACTCATGTCGGCAATCTAAAYCTTCCTTTCTTTTCCCCAGGTATGAAACATCCTCGGGAACCCAATTTTCCTATTTTTCTGGCTCCCTCGCTTCCCTCGCACAACCAGCGGCGGGAAAAGAGTGGAATGACAACATATATTGACAATGAATACTGAAGGGTTTATTAGCCTCATTTCACTTGATTGAATTGTTCGTTAACTAGTTATCCATCTTTTAAAATCTAATGACGTACACAATCTTTAGCCTGCAGTGGTTTTGGATCGTTTACTATCAAAGACAGTGAAATCAAGGTGTCGACAGTCAATTCGTATCATTCGACCAACAGGACCTGGGTACCAATGACGTCATTCAAACTACTTGATATTTCAAGAAAAATAAAAGTCAACTTCATTCAAATGGAGCTGAAATCTTACCAGGAAATCAGCATGGTAAGAATGACATAACACGACGAAGTCATTTAAAAACGTGATTAGCTATTTCGCTCTCATTTAAGAAGCCTGATGGCGTAAGAAAAATACACAGGAACTGAGCAATCAAACCAAGAAAGACATTACGTATTTCTGTATAAATGCTTATTCAGATTGAGTCGATCGTTTGCGCTTTTCTGGCATATTTCATCAAAGGTCATCAAATTTAAATCAAATTGAGCTGAATGYTGTATTTTTTGCAGGCTGTTGTCCGAGGAGTTCCTAAATACGATTCAATACCAAAAGATATCGTCAAAGTGTCATTCGGTGACGATCACTGGAAGTGGAAGATGAGACCTGGTCTGCAGAATCTCAAGGTTTACCAACTATTTTCATATTGCTGTTTTATTTATTTTATGAATCTATATTTTTGCTCATATTTGTCACCTACTAGTATGTGCGGTCTGTTTTCCCCTTGGTTAATTTGCTTCAGTTGTTGTGTCTATCTGGTATTTATAGTGTTTTTTTGTAGCTGGTGAGTTGGTGTTTTTGTTGGTTTTCTTGTTTGTTGTGTCTGGTATTTATAGTGTTTTTTAGTAGCTGGTGAGTTGGTGTTTTTGTTGGTTTTCTTGTTTGTTGTTTGGCCGGCTAGTGTTTTGGACGATTGTTTGACTATCTGGCCAGCGCCTGGCTGATTCAGGATGGTTTGTTCAATTCTCGCCTTTCCTTCATCATCATATCATTCCTGATTGTAGACCCTTGAAGATGATGACTCCAATGACATCACTATCGTTATGACGCTAGTCAAGCCAATCAAAACACGCTTCATGAGAATTAATCTCCCTCCTTATGGAAACACAGCTAAAACTCCGGCAGCGTTTGAAGTGGACGTTTTTTCTTGTGGCTCAGAAAGTGCACCTAACAACCAAGGTAAAAGATGCTGTGTTTAAATGGCTAGGGGCATGCATTGTACTTCAAATGAACAAAACTACTATAAACAAGAATAAGATTGCACAATTGTGTGCACGTAATTGTAAAAAAGTTGTCCCATATGAAAATCACGGTGGAAAAAAGTCACGATTTCTGCTCCGTTGCGTGACTACATAGCATGGCAATTCATTCGGTTTGTTCTCTGTTATAGAATCAATAAAACCACTAGGCATAGAATCTTCAAGTTTAGTCCCAGACTCCCAGCTAACAGCTGCATCTAGTGCAAGTCCTCAGAACTCGGCCGCTATGGCTCGACTCAACCTACAAAGTGATGGTGGAGGGTGGTGTGCGTCAGTTTGTAATCCTTCACAATATCTACAGGTTGCCTTCGGTGATGAATGGAAGATTGTTGAGGTATAATAATATCAGCAAAATTACTAGCACTAGGATTTATAACATATTTACAAATATGAATACATCTGTGCAGAAAACTGTGAGATAAGTCGTACAACAAGTAGTAAGTAATGATTTTCTTTTAGGTTGAAACACAAAGTAAGCACTGGATAAGTGGAAGTATCAATGCTGTCAAAAGATACTCTATGTCTTACAGTCAAGATGGCCTTGTTTGGGTACCTTATAAGGTCAATGGCGGAACAAAGGTTAGTTCTATTAACCTAACTTGGCTGCGGCGTACCCTCTTTGGAACCCTAAGAAGAACACGGTCTCAATCGCACATTTTGACAGGCAGAGGATGATCGTCACTTGCAATTCTGCCCCGCTCTAGGGTCTACTAATCAACATTATGACTTCATGTGGAATTCTAGCTCAAACAAAACCAAGTTGTCGGCATCCAATTAGCTAAAGTTAGAAGGTTTTTTATTCCTAATCTTGATATGTTGTATTTCATTAACGTTGCATTTCTATTGATAATAT